CACACACACACACACACACACACACACACAATACACAGTACACATGCAAACGACTGTGTAACAAAATTAAGAGAATACTTGAATAACCTTAACTTTTTGATACCTTAAATATTTGAATATTGATTTTTTTTTGGTTTGCTTTTTGTAATACAAAGCAATATACTTCTCCATGTTGAAAATATTACAGGGTAATTTGTTCTCTTTGCAGTAGCATATTTAAAGGAAACCATGCAAAACTGGGAGATAGATAAATAAAGGACTGTTTTATCATTAAACTTGGCAAAAACAATTCCAATTTCTGTCATACATGGTTAAGTGGCATATACAAGACACTGAAAACAATGACACATGAACTGAGTTGCATCCTTTTTATTGAATCAATGTTCATAAATGCTCTCCTTATATTGGCATTTATTTTGTAGACATTTAATGATTGCTTTAATAATATGGGAGGAAACGTGTTCCTCATACACAGACTGACTTATCACAGCAGTGTGAAGCTTCGCTTCCTGCGAATATGTTGTCCAGCAGCTGCGGTGCATTCTGTGTTGGTACAACCACACTCCTCCACATACATGTATGTGTAGGGGACCGTGTCTCCATTTGGGCAGACCAGGTCTACAGTGCGATTGCTGAAGCATGTCTCCTTACAGCAGGAACAAGAATGCTGCATGACTGCTGCTTCTTTAGAGTACCTGAATACAGAAGAGGATGGGTTTAATCAATACTGAAACGATATAATAGTATTTTTTAAAACGTTTCAGAGGAAATTATTTTTAAGATTATCCTTACATGGTATAAGTGTTGCAGGATCCTTCGCAATATGGCATATCTACCTCCTGGGCAGACGTACAGTTGTTGTGTGTAATATTGGTTTTCATGGACATGAACTTGCATGCCTTCTCCTTCTCTGCGCCTTTTCAAAAAAGATGCACGGTTAGCCTATTTTAATTTAAGTATCTTAACCTAAAACAAACTCAAATGTTATACTCACAAATTTTACAACAGCCGTTTGCTGCAGTTTGAATTGTCCCCTAAGAAGGAAAATATACAACAACGACTAAATACAAGAAAATATACAGCAACAAAAGTTGTTCAACTTCTGTTCACACAGATGAATGCAAACAAGATGAATAATGAGAAAATGGATACTTACAGGCTGACAGCTGCTCTCATTGAATACTGGGCAGACTGTGTGTGAAGTGCTTGTTGTTAAAATCTCACCATTCTTAACACAGGTATACTCATCACACCTATTCTCAGTTGGTGACCAGGTTTCTCCTTGCTGAA